TACCAGCCTCGATGATCAATGTTCTCTCGCCTTCTTGACGGTTGTTTCGTTCAGAGATTGGAGTCATTGCTACGAATTTGCCCAATTTCGGAAAGTGGATTGCATGCCATACGGAGGTCTCACACTTTCGGCCGGCGAGGCTGGACTAGAACTCTTAGAATGAGCAGCATGAAACATATTCAACGCTGGAATCGTTGAGCTGCTGGTCGCCAGCGAGTTTGGTACGCGAAAAAACACGGGGCAATTGACCGACGCGAGTCCTCAACAGCCCCTCTCCCCCCGGGCAACAAGTCGCTTTGCCTTAGTCAGAAAACAAACTCCAAGCCGCCAACACCTGCAATGCTTGTCATCTACACCACCGAGTCTGCAATCACCAACCTCCTCCCCGTTCCGGGCCAAAAATAGCAGCCCACGAGGTGTTGGTCACCTCGCTACGCTTGTTGTCTTGCCCCTTTTTTCTCTTCTAGCGGTTCTTGATACCGTGCCCTGCCAATCTTTTAAGGATACTCTTCCAATAACCCGTCATATATTCCCATTGTCCCTCAATTAGTGAATGTAGCTTGTCCAATTCTTCAGTCGCAAAGATGCCGCCGAGTCCCCCAAGAGATCCTCTCGCCCATCCGGCGCACAACTTGTCGCAAGCCAAAACCACAGAATTGCTCCCACCACCGTCTCCGCGTACCCATCGCCTTCGCAAACTGCAATCCGCGCATAATCTTGGCTCCAAGGCTGCTCTTCAGCTTCAACCCCTTCATCAACCCTCTTTGATCTCGCAGCAACGCTTGACACAAATCACGCAACGAAATATCTCTCCTACGCGACGCGACCCGAGCTCTTCTTCCAACGTGGCGCGACACACTCGAGGACGATCCAATAGCGATGCGCCGGCGCCTGTTATCCATCATATAAATGCGCTGGCTACGGGCAAGCGCAGCATGATGGGCATCAGCCCCAAGTACGCGACTATGTCTCTCCAACAACTTATTAAAGAGGGTCCCCCCGAAGGAGAGACAATTGAGGCTTTAGGTATGGCTCGTCGCAAAATCTTGAGCGAGGGCATCAAGAGTGATAGCGACGGCATGGTAAACATTACCCTTCATGCCCGTCAAACATATACACCAATGCTGACTTATTGCCACGCAGTCAACCTTACGTATATACGTCTGGCTTATCCTGCTAGATACTCCCGTTCTCCCGACCGATGACTACTTGGGCCTAATTCACCGCGGAGCCTCCCCAGCCTACTCCAAGATTCGCAACGATACCTTTCGAACCCTTACGACTGATCCTTTGTTCAGGCGACGTGTGAGCGAGGCCAGCCTGATTCGCCTCCTCAACGCCGTGGCCTGGCGTCTACACGATGTGCGGGAGGAGCAGCGCAGGGAGCGGCCCAGCACTGGAAGAAGCTCCATATCGCAGGACAGCTCGACATCGACGTCGACAGCCACAGCGTACTCGCAAGATCCCGCTTTTTCGCCGGGTGCCAGAAACCGTGCCAGGGCCCTCACCTTGACCACAGAAGGCTCCGAATCCAGCCATGCTGCGGAGCCCGGAACATACGTGCAAGGAATGAACGTGCTGGCCGCGCCTTTTCTATACGCAGCAAGGAGCGAATCCGAGGCCTTCATCGCGTTCTACACACTCCTCACGCGCGAATGCCCCGGCTACATCCGCGGCGCTATGGACGGCGTACACAAGGGTCTGGCGCTGGTTGACAAGGTCCTTGCCACGGTCGACTCGAAGTTAAGCGGCTACTTGCACTCCAAAGGTCTCACGGCTGAGATCTACGCTTTCCCCTCGGTTCTGACGCTATGTGCCTGTACGCCTCCGCTTCCCGAAGTCCTCAGATTGTGGGACTTTCTCTTCGCCTACGGGCCCCATCTGAATATTCTCTGTATTGTAGCCCAGCTGATGGGCATGCGGGATCAGCTCATGAGCTCTCCGAGGTATGTTTTCCGCGTCCTCTAGACTTGAGTTGTACATGCTAACAATCTATCAGCCCTAATAAGCTGCTGCGTTCATTCCCTTCGCTGCAAGCCGATAAGGTAATTGAGCGTACGCTGTGGATCATAGAAAGAATCCCAGACGACACCTACGTGGCTATAGTTGCGCACGCCCACTGAATGCATGGATATTATGAATAATGGTAGACAAGAAGAGCACGAAGAACACCGCCTCACGGGAAGGTGGCGAGGACTCAACAAAAGGAAGGGGCGATGTCTGATGAATGTTTGAACGTTGAACGACGTGTACTTGTACGATGAGAAGACTTTTAATGACTTGACGATTGAAACAAAAACATGGGAAACGAGATGGGAACATCATGATAGAGCGCCATAGGGGGTGGTAAACGGTCAAGGATGGCATAGCTCCATGAGATATACGGGGGAAAGAACAGTACACTCGCATTGGGTTGGGAAATTAATTGAAACTTATCGTTATAATTCTTATCACTTGCCGTCTATCTTACTGTGAGACGAATATGTTGTCACCTAAATCTAGTACCCAGTCTTCCTCTGGTGCCCCTCCCTGTGGCGGGGAGCGATTCCGTGCTTGTAGAGAGAATATCAAGGTCTCTTGCCCACTTTGGTATCATCCACCTCGGTACACTTGAGTCCAAACCTGAGGTGCTTTTTGTTCTATACTCTCATGGCATGACCTCTCGATTAGGGCGAGTAGACTTGAGTTTGGGCTGAGAGAATCTAGCTGATAGAGCGGAGTGGAGTTGACAACCCAGTGTATGTGAGGGCTGGAGGGGGAGGGAGGCAGGGAGAGAGTGAGGGTAAAGGCCAGCTCGCAATGAAGTATCACAGAAACGTCGACTCTGTGTAGATGACTTGATGTTGAGGCCCATCCACACGAAGTTGCGGTTAGCCCTCCCTCCCATTCCCAGCAGTCTGGTCAAGGAGGCACAGGTGGACTCGTCATCGGTATCGTGGCCGATATAGCATGGCAATAGAGCAAGTCAGCAATATCCTCCAGCACAACAAGTGGATTGTAAAGAATCTGCAAGTTGGCACCTTAAAACTCAACGAGCCTGGCATATGCCGATTGAAGTCCTTCGCCTGCTATGTGTCCATTTGCCTCCGCCTGTTCTTCGTCGAATCCGTAGACAGCAGTTACGGCAGTTGCTCAGTCTGTGTTTCACTGATAACTCCACTCAGTGGCGCGTCCAGACAAGCGCTCTATGCCTTACTTATTGATGTGAGTCTGGTCCAAGTTGTAGGAAGATAATGCTTTGCACAACTGCTTGAAAGCTCAAACGTTGTTTAGGCAGATGTTAATGGCCAACCATCAGAGTACACAAGCAAAAGAGAGTATTCTGTGAACAAGTATGGTAAGGGATTGTAAGACATCGAAGTTCTCGTACTTACTCGTGATGACACTGTTGAGGGCACAAAATACTTCTCACATATGACCGTCACGGCGGAACAGGTCTTATGAACCTTGTGTGGAACTATGACCTTGGAAAATGTACTTATTTCCAGGAAAAGTTTCTAGAGTCCTCTTGTTTTCACAACAACGCAACAAAGCGAAGACCCCATCGACAAAGTTAGCCCATCATTTGGCAAGATGTCTGACTGGAATAACTGATAGATGCACCACTTGGGGCAGCCTATCAAGGACTTTCAGCAACTGGCAAATCATACTCAAGTCTTTCTCAAGCGCTATACTGTCAAGTTACCCTGGCCTGGCAATAGGGCTTCCACATTCGACTCGAAACGAAAGCCTGAAGTCGAGGTAGCCTTGTAGAATTTGCAGAGTAGTATATTTAAAATAGTAAAGTAATTCCCGTGGACTGAGTACACTTGCTCAGGGCTCAAATACCAGGATTGATTTTTAAAATCATTACTTTAACCAAGGGCATCTACGTTGACAAATGTTTCCGTTCAACTACTTGAGCACACGTCAAGTTAAAATTGTAACTTTTGTCGAACATGACTTCGGCGGCCAACTCAGACATTGTGACTACGCAAGCCACGCACGCACGTCATTTACCCAGAAAGCCTTCCTAGTTTACCAGAGATAACATCTCGCCATGTTCCAAGTCCGCCGCGACTGGGTTCTGCTCTTGTCCAGAATTCATACAGATGTTGATGCTAGGCTGCGATCCCTTCCGGAACCTGAGAGGCACACAGGGCTTCCATGAATGTATTGAAGAGGCTTCAGTGCCGTTGAGGCTACTTTGCACACCTTCTTCGCCATCTTCTCGCGAAACGTGCAATAAAGGTGATGGGACGGGCACTCCCAGCAGAAGTGTAAGAGCCTAAGCACTTCTTCCAACGAGGCAGCTCCAGAAGGGAGCGCAGGCCGATGCTCACTTCTCCCTTATGCGTAGACTCACAATCAAAGGTAGGAACTCACTCGACATGAGCAATAGCTTGACTTCCAGGCAAGTCAAGTCTCACCAACCTAGGTGGGTGGCAATTGAGTCGGCTACAATACGAACTTAGGTTGTAACTAACCTTGAGCGGCTCTCTTATCCGCCACTGCTACCCTGGAGGTATTTCCACCTTCTTTACCAGGATGCAAGTCCGCACACCAGGTGTTCTTTTCAGCCTACCTAGCTGTCTCAACCCAAGATTTAGAGTAGACTCTGCGCTTCAGCAAAGTGCGGCGACTCTATGACGGGCATCCTCAGAGGCAGGGACACAGCCAGAAATTACAACAGAATGAAGCGATGAACAGCAGGCAGAGGAATTAGACAATTCTCAAAATCACAAAGCCATTTCACATACTTGCGACCTGCCGAGACACATTGCTGAACCGCTAAGGCCTCAGCCAGCCTCACCGCAGAAAGTGCGGAATCGGGACTAGTCTATCTTGAAGTCAGGCGACTGGATTCGCTCAGCAGGGCATTCAACTGCCGTCATTGGATTGCCAAAGGTATCCAGTCATCCTGTCGTTGGCCAGGTCGCGCGGCTCTTGTTCGTGACAGGAACACCTCCGTGAAAGATGACGTAGTCAGCTTTTGAATAGGCTGCTTTCCCCATGTAAGCATGAAATGTGGCGAGGCTGGAGTACCTCAGCTGAAGATTGCGGGCTGCGACCATGATCAACACGAGAGTGTCAACGATGTGGCAAGCTGGCACGGCAGGCAAGTCAAGGCAATGGCGTTCGCGATGATGATTGCCTAGCAGTCTAACTCGTGGCATCTTGATCGAAACTGGCACAGCGGTTGGCGCATCGAGGTGCGCATCATCACGGATGCTGTTGTCCCCGCAACAGGGTGCCCCGCGCCATCGAGCCAGGCGATTGATGACGATGAGCATGGTAAAGAGCCAGGCCCTGTACTCGGAAGGGCTCAGGTGAGTGGTGCTGTCCCGTCAAGGTCCTGAGCAGCGAGGGATCAGCGGCGCAAAGTGACAGCGGCCAATGGGTGTTGACAGGCAGGGGACGAAATGAGCTCTGGCTAGGCCGTGGCTCAGCTGACACAGCGTCTCGGGGGCCATCAGTCAGCGGAGAGCTCACGGTCATCATACCAGAGGCTGAGGAAGATTGAAGAAGGGCGAGTAGCAGCGGAAAATGACGAATTAGAGTCGCAAGAGGCTTGCGTAAAACTACGGCGGCTTCTCTCTTCCCACGACGTGCTGGTGTGGGATTTGCTGCTTGCCTAACACATCGCGGGGCCTGGACGTCGTCGTCATAAGGAACACGATCCAACAAGAGAGCGAGAAGGGGCATTACCGCGTGGTAATGTAGGGTTTGGCGGCGAAGGTGAGGGATAGATTAGGCCAATGATCTCATGGTTCGACAGTGAGTGATCGCGGGATCGAAGGTGCGGAACGTTGGATGCGACTTTGGTTGCCGTAGGAAATGCTCCGCGGCATCGTCGGTCATGTCTGCTTTGTCGATTTTGTGTCTGTTTGGATGGTTCAGCCACATTTGGGTAGCATCGCCTGTATGAAGTGCCACCCAAATGATTCCCAGTTCAGGTGCCTCGCGAGCTCCAGGGGTTACAAAATAGGCACTAGTATGGGGAGCTAGAGAATTGATGGCCGAATAGGGACGGACCTGGCTCCGAGGTGATTCGTCACGGGTTAATAGCTGACCAAAGCTGAAGTATGTAATACCCAAGGCGTCGCCGTTGGTGGTTTGCGACGGAGTCGTCTCTATCCCTTCATTGGCCGATGACTGACTCGCTCCTTGCCTACCTGTCCGTATGTTTGTTGTTTTGCCTGGGCAGAAAGTTGGCAACCAAGGCCGCGGGATTCCGGTTCCTGAGCAGAGGTGATTATCGAGATCGTTCCATGATCTCTGTACCGCCGAAGGAATAGCCGGCGATGGTACAAAGGAGAACGCCGCCTTTTCCGCCGTATCCCTTAGAACTTGTAAGCGAAACCTGTGCGGTGGATGCTAGTCGTCCACCAAAGAAGCCTCAGCCTCAGTCCAGGCGGCCTCGGGACTGGACAAGGCAAGCAGAGCAAGGCACTGGGTCACAGCCAGGCGAGGCTCCGGTGGGTTGGAAGAAGATAGGCATCATGGCGGGTGCCTGGCAACGATGTGTTGATTGAAGTGCATGCACTCTCCCGTCCACCCGTCGTGCGGTCCGCCTGGTGCCATGCCCTCTCCGTTGGTTCTCTGCAGCGCGTTGAGGGGCGACCGACCACATTGCGGCTCAACAATTGAAAAACGAGTGATGCTAAGAGCAAATCGGCAGAAACGATCGATCCCGTTATCATTAGCTTCATGCTTGAGGGAGTCGATCCCAAACCCTGAGGTGAGGGAATGTTCAGGTACAATCAAGGTACTCCCGGCCAGGTGTGCGGAGTTTGCGCGTGTAGAGTAGCAAGCGTGATGCGAGGCGTTTGTAATCGGAGAGCTCTCGGTCAGGTAAGGTAGACACAGGTAGGTTCCTCGGCAGGTATTCAGCCACGGGCACTCCTACTGTCCGCTGAACCGCGTAGCAGTCTCCCAGTATGCCTGCTGCGGGGGAAAAGAAGAGAGAGGGGCGATGCGCGTGGAGGAACCAAGTGAAGGGCACCTGGAGACTGCAGCCGTAAGCAGGGCGAGCGACAATAGTGGAACGAGAGAAACAAGTATCGGTGACTTGGCCTGTCGGTAGTGCGGTTGCAAAGCCACGTCGGTTTACGAGGTGAAAATTGGAACCGGGACCTGATGTTCCCTGGCCGAGAACCTATGAGAAGCCACTGAGTGGATCTGAGTGGAGACGGAGATTATCTTTTTAGCCACTCGCGTGTGTCCCTGACGGCACTGGGAGGCTGGGGCATGGATGGGATGGGGCTCTTGATTTTCTTGCACAGCCACCGCGGGGGCTGAAAGGCCCTTGCTTTCGGGCTCCATTCTCTCAGGTTTCCTTCCCTTCCATTTCTCTCCCTCTCCCTCGTCATCCAGCCTGGTCCCCGGAACCCGACTCCGTCGCATTCACAATTCCAATACCTTACTCTGTACACTACCTTATGGACCGACGACCATTCAGCGTGGAACCTCGCTCTTCGGCATGTCACACTTGTTATGACGACTAGAGCTGAGAGCAAGAGTGAGGCATGTTTTTATTTTCCTTGACCCGATATTGATTCCATCACTCCGTAGTGTGGCGCTCAACAAGCCGCAAGTATCGAGATAGTTCAAATATGCATTCACAGGGCGTGGCGTAATTCAGAAAATGCCAAGACGGAGTTAGGGAGGGGACGAGTGAGAAACAGTGTGTGTATGTGCGCGCGCGCATGGGTGTGGCTTGAGATGTATGTCCGCCGCCTGAGAGAAGTTGAGGTGGGTGGGCAATGTATCGAGTACACCGTTCCTCGATATTCAGCTACAAAGTATTCCATACTTTGGTCAACTCCGACGGGTACCATGACGGTGGTACGGGGAGGTAGGTACCCATCGCCATGCTACGTAAAGATATCCGGGGGGAGGCACACGCGAGATACCTAGGAAAAGGGAAGGGACTTGGTTGTTGGGCTTCTGGGATAACGGCGTGACTGCCTTCCCCAAACTCAGGTAAGTAGTTAGATGCAAGCAGCAGCATTGGCGACAACAACTACACCAGTCGGGATGGATCATGTTCAGAGTTCCAGTTCCCTCCTCCCGTCGTCCTGTCAGTTGTCCTCCAACACTGCCGCGCTGCCGCAACCGAGAACGAACCGCCTTTCCGTGCGCCTGCGGGCAGCGAGCGGCCTGCCTGACCTTCCATGTCCTGGTTGGTCACCTTAGGCAGGAGGAGAGAGGCATGTAAGTAGGTAGGTACCTACCTACCTCGTCTCACGAAAGCTTACCTAAGCTCGGCAGGCAGGCAGGTACGGAGTACGGATACCTCTGTCGTTCCTCACCTCAGGTGGTAAGGAAGGAAAGTAGCGTGTGCGGCCGCCCCAGTGTGTGTCCGTACCTCCCGCACCCGCCGCCCGCCGTCTGTTGTGGCAGAAACCGCAAGCCCCAACTCGCCCTCATTCGCAGACGCCGTCACACCTCTCTCACTCAACTTTCTGACCATTTGCCTTACTCTATCTTGCTGCACCCGCCCTCCACCCTTCCCTTTTCCTCCAGCTTCTGCCACACTTGGAATTCAGTTCTCTTTTCCCTCTTCTTCAACATCGCTACCGCCAGCCAGATTTCCACCCCGCCACTGGTTTGCGCGCGTAACAAATTCAATTTCCAACGAAATACTCGCCATCGAGACCGGCTTGCGTTAGCCATTATTCAATCCCGCCCAAATCGGTTCCGCCACATTCCACCGCGACTCGTCCGCTCGTCCCGTCAAATTCGGGGTCGTCCACGAACAAGAACCGCCACGTGTGGCTGAACGATTCGAAGCTCCCATGACTTGTCGTTGACCATCAACAACCTCGACGACGCGGTCGCATCGGAGCTTTCTTTTCCAATTCAAACCCTCCAATTAATCGCTTGATGCTTTCGCCCGCTCATGGCCTCGGATAACGGTCCCATTGCGACCGAAGCCCCCCTCCTGGCAGCGACGACGCCGGTCGCATCAGACACTTTTGCGTTTGGGGGAGATCCTGCTCGCACCAAATCGCTCAAGAGGGCGCGCGAGTCTACTCCTACTTCGCCCACGTCTGTTGTCGACCCTATCGTCGAAGGCGCCGTTCCTCCTATCCCTCCCTCTATCGACTATCCCTCCCCCACGAAGTCCGCTCGTTTCGGCTTGGCATCGTCAAGACGCTCACCGACACCATTGACAGCCGCCGCGGCGCTCGAAGCTCTCGAAGAGGAACGCAAACGCGAACAGCGCCTAAATCCACCCGCCTCAAGCGACAACCCAGGCCACTCGGTGCTTTCCGTACTGGCCGGTAGTGTTGCCGCCATGAGTCGACCCGATGAAGCACCCCAAGCTCCAACGGCTGCCATGGAGGTCACCACCAAGGCGCCCGAACCGGTGTCAATCCCCCAAGTTAGCAATGCGCCCGCAGAACCTGCCGAGATCAGCCCACAAAGCGCAGTGAGCGCAGCTAGTATTGCAGGCGCTTTAGTGACGGCCAGTCCAGGCCCAATGGAAGTTGATCCCAAGTTGAGCGAACAATCTCAACAGCCACAGCATCAGCCTCAGCCGCCGCACCCGGCCCCGGTTCACGATGAGAAGAACACGCCCGGATCACTTTCATATCCGGGTTCGCTCCAAGCCGCCGCCATGATGCCCGCTCCACCGGCGCGCGGCATGAGCTTTCCTATGCCGTCGCCCGGCCACGATTCTCCGACTCAATCCGGCAAGAAGCACAAGTGCCCGTTTTGCGAGACGGAGTTTACGCGTCACCACAACCTCAAGAGCCATCTGCTCACTCACAGCCAGGAAAAGCCGTATATATGTCAGGAGTGTAACATGCGCTTCCGACGCCTCCACGATTTGAAGCGTCATAGCAAATTGCACACGGGCGAGAAACCCCACATATGTCCGAAGTGCGATCGGAAGTTTGCCCGGGGCGACGCACTCGCTCGGCACAGCAAGGGTGCGGGTGGTTGTGCGGGCCGCCGCTCCAGTATGGGCAGTTTCGACCAGACCGATGACTTGGACGGGCCGAGTATGCATGATGGCGATGATTCAATGGCCGGCATAGTGTATGCCAACGAAGAAGACTTAACGGAAGAGGAGAGGCGCCTGAGCCTGCCAAGCATCAAGGCACAGCATATCGCAGGTGGACCGGGTAGCATCGATGGATATAGCGCTCATTCGCGTACATACCCACCAGCAGGTCCACGACCCGGGACCGGCGGGCTCTATCCGCCCAATGTTGACCGTGGTACAGCAACCTCGACCACGTCCCCAAGCATGCCTAACAGCATTGCTGGTGCTCACACGCCGAATACGAGCGTGTCTTCTGTGCCCGTAAGTGGCGCTTCTGTCTACTCACAAAGTGGCATGACGGAGAGCCCGAAGCCATTGAGCCCCGGGCATGATACAAACAACATTGCGAGACAACGATCGCCAAGTCTGACGCAACAGTTCCAGCAGCACCAATATGGCCGCAGGCCTTCTGACAGGAACACTTCACCAGGTGAGTTGTGCCTTTTGAGATTTGCGCCTGTAATTTGATCACACGCTGATACTATTCTCCAGCCTTCGTTGCTCCGGCATCACAGGCCGGCGCGGCTCCTGCCGGAGCCGCCCATGCTCGTGGTTCCAGCGGAACGCAGCCAGGAAGTG